GACGGCAGCCTTCAGGAGGCAGGGACATCGCAAGCCACTGCAGCACTGTGCGGGGACTGTCTGAATCCTCTGTCTCAGAGCTGAATCACTCCCACTTGGCTTCAGTTTGTAAGCTGGACCTGAAATTAGGCCCTTAAGGAGAAGGACAGAAAAGAGCATAACAGCTCACAAACTACAGTGGAATCCAGCCAGGACCTTGTGCCTGGCACCTGAATGCCAGTGTTTTAGAGGAAAGAAAAAGCTCCCTGTTCATTCGGGCTGCTCCAAGAGTTGCTTCCAAATGAGTATGTTTCCACAGCTCAAAGGGCCGGGCTGGAAGGGGCAGGAAGGGTGCGGGAAGGAGGCAAGGCTGAAATCTGCTGGAGTGCTTTCTGGTGCATTGATCTACAAGACAAGAGGCACACACACAGAGAGTAGAGACACTAAAACAAAACTCCTGGTTGCCGTCTAGCTAAGACACATTTCTTCTATGCTGCAGTAACTGCTTCCTATAATCAATTCAGCGCTGAGGCCAGGGGACAACAGAACATGATTTGTCCCCAAAACAAGGAGCTGATTCAAATTGTTCTGGAGGTGGAGGTAGCCTCCTCTTATCCCAGAGAGGCCAGGATCCAGGAATTGCCAGGTACGCCACAGAGCCTCTCCCAGGCAGGGCCAGTTTTTTCTAGCCTCCATATTTCTGGAGCAAGGAGGTATTGGCAGCAAGCACCGCTGCCAGGGGGAAGGCTGGCCCAGTGACTTGCTGAGTGAGCAGAGCCCTGCCAGGTGCAAGGGAAAGGGCAAGCAGTGCTGCGGGATGCCTGCGATGAAGCCCAGATCCATTTGTATTCCACAGGATCCTCTCCTCTGCCTGCTAGTACAACAGACGACGGGTCTCCCTCAGAAATCAAGACTGGGATGAAAAGCTCAGCAACTGCTCTGCTCAGCAGAAATGCTGTTTCTATTCAAGCTCCTGTGGCTGAGCCCTCTTGCAGGGAATGGATTTTGCCACCGTGCTGGTTTGTTAGACTGTGGTGAGCAAGGGCTTACCAAGATTCAGCACGAGGGAGATGCAGGAGCACTGCTCTGCAAGCATCTGAGCTTCCCCCTCTCCGAAGGACGCAGCGTTGCTCTACAGACTGGAAACCCCAAGAGCTCCAAGGCAGCTGGGCAGCAGTTTGGTGTCAGAAGGCCGACAGCTGGTAGTGTCACAGTATGACACTGCAGCACAGAGGAGCAGATAGCAGTTTCTAATTGTAAAAGCTTGATGAAATTGCTTTCTAAATCTCACTGTTTTTGAGCTGATCTGATTTTTGAACCCAGCCACGATTCTCTGTCACACAGGACCAGCAATTTCTTCTTCAATTTCTCTGCAGTCTCTCCAGAACACAGCATGGCAGATTTCCTTAATTCACATTATCAGCACCATTTGCCTCATGAAAGACCGAAAGACCACCCGAGATTAACAGAAAAGCTGTTGCCCTTTGGGTTCTCCCCTTTCACAGGCTACACGATGCCTCTGCTTTTACACTCTTACCATAGGAGCTGGGCAGAGTTTGAATCTGCTGCCCAGCAAATGAACGATGCATGCAAAGCTCTCTTAAGGAGCAGAAAATCTATTCCCTTCCTAGGCTTTTAGACGCCATGGATAATTGATACATGATTCTATGAGATAAAGAAATAAACCATTCTTCCTTCTGGAGGCCCCTTCTCCCTCTGACTCTCAGAGCTGGGTAGCCTCTGACCTTGAGTTCTTGCATTAATGCCTGTACACAGCCAGACAGGGATATCACACACGCACTCAGCTCATCTCCTGGGGTTTCTCTTTCTTCTGCCCCTGAATAATGGCAGCTTTGTCCTCTAGTAAATGAAGGAGCAGCCAGTTTATTGCAGACCCAGCTTGTTCTCAAAGATAAACCCAGTGAAAAATGTCACCTGCTGATTTGATCCGCCCTGTGTGCCACTTTAGCAGCTGCTCTATCCCAAACACCCATTATCATCAAACAGGTGGAATAATAGAAGTGTATACAGTATATATACATAAACATGAGAGCTGGAGAGAAGATGGCATTTCATCTCACAGCACTGCAGGCCTGGCTTAGAATGCTGCTTTGTTTAGGAGCGACAACAGCCCAGTTTCACAAAGAAGCATCAGCACTGCCCTGTTGGCATTGCAGCATCTGAGGACAAAATTCACAGGGCAAGTTAGACATGTCCCCAGCAGATAAATCGCAGAGGTCCATGCACCAAAGCAGGATTTTCAGCAGTGATATGGGTCTGGAGGGAAGTGCCTCGGCAGAAGCGCAGAGCTGTCTCAGACTTGAATCCTGGAGGAGTTGAATGCATGTCTGCGCTTAAGGAAGCTGTAGGGGGTCTGGTGCTGTGTCAGTTACTACATAGCTATGGGGCAGGGGAGGTAAGAGAAGCGGGAGTGCTGCTTGCAAAATAGCAGCTGGCCAGAACTGCCTCCAGTCCGAGGTTTCACTAGAAGACTCGATTCTGTGGGCACCAGAATTCATTTAAAGCCATTTCCAAGCAAAGGCAAACAGTTTAATTCTGCTGCCCTTTGGCAACCCTGCTTTAATTTCTTACTGAGGTCCTGAAATAAATGAAAGGCTTGAATTGAGCTTAGCAGCACACAAACAGGAAAGCCATATGATAAATTACCTTTGCAGGCATGAAGGATTCACCTGGGATACTATTACCTAGTAACCAGGAAGCAACCGTGGGTTATCAGCGTCACATCTAGCTTTTGCGAGCGCAGCTTTCAGCTATGATGCGAGTGTGTGGGAGATACCAGCTCTCATTACTCCCAGAAAAAGCAGCTCCAGTGGCTTCACCCGTGGGGTGATGTTAAAGGAGTCCTATCAGCAGCAGTAGTATTCTGAGACTTGGCAGCTATCTGCAGCCCTCCTGGGGTGTTTAAATTTACTGTCATCATTAAGGACAAAGACGCAAATGTCAAATGCAAGGCATCCTGTAATGGATTTAATGCAGGCTGGAGAGGAGTTAACTGAAAATGCAGAGCATTCATCTTACTTTAAGTAATTACGCTTGCAGGAAGAATACTGCTACCAAAAGCAAGTCTGTTGTAATTTCTGTCACCTTTCTCCTGACCCCTCTCCTATTTAAAATTTCTGGCTAGCCTCACAGAAAGGAAAGCAGGACTGGCTCATTAATGAAGGTAGAAGGAAAACTACAGCAGGTTGGGATGGAGTCCACACGGTAATCAAAACAAGGCTTTGTAGTTAGCACTGAATTCCTGCT